ACAAATTAAATCATTAAGTACTAATACAGGATAGCCAGCTACACTTACTTACATCATAAAATCATGCCTCTTATATACTTTCCTTTGGAGGTCTGAAACACTTTTCTAACTGTTTGGTGAGAACTTCCCAACTTTACAAGGAACAAGAATTAGATTCTCTGTCCACATTCCTGATAAGTTGGTTGGAGATGTGTTTGCTAAGCTACCTGGAGGGATATTTTATTGGGAGCAAAACTGTTTTGCTGCTGATGGGATAGATCTGAGGACTAGGCAGGCAGGGGGCTGCCAAATGGAATGAAGCGATCCATGTTCTCCTGAGATAGCCACTGGCTGGGGAGTGAAGTATGTGAGAATACTTGCTGCACACACAGAGGAGACCTGGTGAAATGGGACTATCTAGAGCTTACTCAGGAGTTTGTATGTACTGTACAGAGCACACCGTAGTGGGTACAAGGCAGCTACAGCCGACTCTGTACTCGAGAATGCACCCAGAAAGAGGGGCAAGTGCTTCTTTAAGCAAATGAAAAGGACAGTGACTATTTACTGGCCTACAGGGTGCAGTCAGAATTTCTTGCAACATTTCCCTCACCTAGCTGCACCTCTCCTTTCACAGTCCTTGTCACACTTGTCCTCTCCCATAGTACCTATCACGCACAGAAATTAAGTTTCACACTCAGAACCTGTCTTCTAGGGTGAGCCTCAGCCTACATTGCTCCCCGTCATATTTCTAGTACTTGGCATAGCCTGACAGAGAGACGCTCGGTGAACACTGGATAGTGGAATGGAGTCCTACGTAAGCCGTGCTGATCTGATCTTTCAATAACCATAATTTCGTGTGTTCCTAAGAAGAAAATTCTGTAGCTGAGGAGGAAGTTTGGTTATCTCCATGTTGGCACTGCAGGGTGGGTTGTGGGCTGCACTCAGGTATGAAGGAAATTTAGTCTACTGTGGAAACATGGTGCTTTACCTGTACAGCACCCATTCTCCCTTCAACCACATACTCCAGTGTTTCGCTATGATTTGAGGAGTCATCTTTTCATCGTACAGCTGGATTCTGTATCTGTAGATTCCACATCTGCAGATTCAACTGACCACATTAAAAATACTTGCAAAAACATTGCATCTGTGCTGAGCATGTTCATTCCTTGTCAGTATCTCCGAAGTAATTCAGTATCACAACTCTCTACGTAGCATTTACATTATATTAGGGATTATAGATTGTCTGGAGATGATTTACAATATACAGGAGGATATGCACAGGCTATATGTAAAATCTGCACACATTTATGTAAGGAATTTGAGCATCATTGGAGTTTGGTATCTGAGGGCTTTGGGAACCAATTCTCTGTGGATGCTGGGGAAGGGACTATGTAATTTTGGTGACCCTGTTAATTGCGATAACCTATCCTCTTGCACCAATAAATTGTCCTGTTACCCAATATAGCACAGTCAGATGCTCTCCCTGAAGTTTAGATTTCATACTGAGAAACTCACACAGCTGACAGGGTTCATCTTGATAGTATCAGCTTTGTTTTTCTACAGTAGCAATTCACCACAAATTTAGTGGCTTTAAATAGCACAGATTTATTGCTTTATAGTTCTGCATGTCAAGGCTTTCACACACGTTTGGCTGGGCTAAAATTCAGGTGTTGGCAAGGCCATGTTCTTTTCTGGAGATCCTAAAAGAGAATTGTTTTTCTCACTTTTTCCTATACTCCCTGGCTCTTGGCCCCTTCCTCCATCTTGAAGTGTGGGTCATAGTTCCATTGTGGAGCATGTTTTTATTGATTATTTTCCATTTGCATATCTTCTCTGATATCTTCTGTTAAGATCTTTGGCCCATTTTAAAATTTAGTTGTTTGTTTTCTTATTGTTTCAAGAGTTCTTTGTATATTTTAGGCAACAGTTCTCTATCAGATATGTGACTGTTAACTGTGTTGTTACCTTCATTGATCTAAGAAATGCCTAGCAGGTTAGTAAGGCACACTTTTTGGTGTGGGGTGGTTATGGAGATGTGACCTTGGGTTTACAGCTGGTCCCTCACTCTTCCTTCTCTGGTGCTATCTCCTGCCCTGCTCCCCGATGACATGAGCTGAATAGCTTTGTAAGGCCATACCCCTCCGCCCCTATGTTCCTGTTTTGCTTCCAGCCAACCAGGGACTGAATCCTGTGCAACAGAGTCAAATAAACCTCTCTATTGTTTTGTGTATCAGTTAATTTGTCCTACCAATAGAAATACCAATATACTTCCTTTGCAAATATTTTATCCTAGTCTGACTTGTCCTCTTTGACAGTCTCTTATTAGAGTCAAAGTTTTTTGATTTTAGAGTGTCAGTTTTTTTCATTGCTTATTTTTCTGCTGTGTCTAAAACTCATCATCAAGCTCAAAGTCACCTAAACTTTCTCCTAAGTTATCTTTTAGGAATTTCAGTTTTTCATCTTACATTTTAGGTGTCTATTCCACCTTAAGCTAATTTTGGGTGAAAAGTGTAAGGTCTATGTCAAATTTTTTTTTCAATGTGGATGTTTAGTTGTTCCAGAACCATTTGGTGAAATGACAGCTGTCTTTTCTTTATTGTATTGACTTTGCTTTCTTGTCAAAGATTACTTGAGTATGTATGTCGATTTCTTGGTTCTGTAGTCTATTTGCCTATTTTTGCCATTACTTCAGTGTCATGATTATTGTAGATTTGTAGTAAGTTTTAAAGTCATGTAATGTCAGTCCTCCAACTTTTTCTTTTAATAATTAGGCTTTATGTCTTTTGCCCCTCCATGTACACTTCAGAATCGGTTTGTTGATATTTACAGAGTAACTTGCCAGGGTTTTGCATTGAATCTATTGGTCAAACAGGGAAGGCTGTTTTTTTTAAACAATGTTGAGTCTTCCTATCTAGAAGCATGGAGTAGTATCTTGTTGTTTAATTTCTTTCCAACAAAATCATGTGGATTTCTTCTTGTAGATATTGGACATATTTTGATTTATAGTTCTTTATATACTTTGGATTTAAAAATATTTATTTTTATTAATATATTGCATACTAACAGAATTTTATCTTCTCATATAATCAAAGTTAAAAATAAGCTTATTATTCAATGAACCATATTCATGTGACTTCTGTCTTGGATGATTATCTAGTAGGTAGCACATTTATTTTTTTCTCACATATTCTTAAATTGCCTTATGGTTTCAATGAGATTTTTAAACTTTTACTTACTAATTTCGATTGGGAAACTTTTCATGCACAAATTAATGCATTTTCCCATCTTCTATTTAGCCTAGTTGCCTTACAGTGCAGTAAGATTTTTTTGAAACTTGCGCGGGACATCAGTGTTTTCAAATGCAAGCATAAAGCCCATCAGAAAGGACTGTCCCCACCTGATGCTTCACAGCCAGTTGCATGAGTATGACATTTTCTAAGGTGGGATTCTAAGGAATACTGAGTTCAAATGGCAGGGAGACAGGGATGACCTTGGGCTGCAATGCAGCTGTAAAGTGGATAAAACTCCAAGTATATTTTAAGAGCCCATCTTCTCCAGAGCTGTAAATGTGTTGGAAGGACGCTCAAACTTTTCTTTCTTCTTCTTTTTTTCTTTTTTTGGTACCGGGGATCGAACTTGGGTCCATGCACTTGTCGGCAGGCAGTGCCACCACTGAGCTAAATCCCCAGCCCCAACTTTTCTTGAGCATTCTTGGCATTCTTGGTCTCCCAGTTAGAAAAAGAGATGTAGGAGAGCAGAGCTTCTTAAACAACGCAGACTCAAAAAAACAATGACAAAACAAAAAAACAATGCAAACTCAATCTGGAAAGGGTGGAGAAACCCCCTCCCCCATCAGGTGTACCAGAAAATAAACTGCCAAGGACAATTTTCAGAACACACAGCATTTTGATAGACTAGAATAATTTTATATAACTCCATAGTCAGTCACTTGTACAAGTAATATTTCTGAGTTAAATGCCACTATGAATTATATTTTCTTTTAACTAAATTTCATGTTATACAAAATAGTAAGTATGGCGGCATGTTTTTATTATTAACCATCATATTATGTTTTTGGTTTTTGAAGCATATATTAATAAAAGTTGATACATTGCCCAGACTTTCTGATTTCAAAATATGAAGAAAATCAATATAAATGGTGGAGTAAAGACATCTTCTACATAAGCATGAATTAGTTTAGTAAAAAAAATGCAATTTAGTGCAACTAAGTCACCTCTGAGTAATATATACACTTTCATGTATTTGGAAATAAGTTTACATTTAAGAATATATTCATAGCAAATAAAAATAGCATTTATTCAATAAGAAATAGCAAAGTAATTCCAATGAGTGGAAAATAACTTCAACTACATATAATTTATCATTTAGATATTCCAAGATCCTCAGAATTTAAATAGAACATTTGTAGAATATCTTACTAAAGTATGTCTTAGAAAAATCAACCAAAAAATTGGTATACTAAAGAGAATTTGTGTACACATCCATGTTTGACTTGTATGCCAAAACCGAGACAGAGGAAATTAAAAGTTTCAAAAATTTCTGGAATATGTATTAGTACTTAACTCAAAACAATTGTGGGTTGGGGATTTAGCTCAGTGGCACTGTACCAGCCTCACAAGTACAAGGTCCTGAGTTCGATCCTTGGTACCCCCGAGAAAGCAACAAAATGAAATAAAACAACAACAACAAAAAACCCACCCCAAAACAAAACAAAAAAACCTGCCAGATAAGAAGAGCTTGGGATATTTCTAATACCGAAGCAAGTTTCTGAACATCAAATACCACAAGAAGGCTCCTCGAGCATTTACATCCAGTTTGGAGTTGAAGCAAAGAAGGCATCTTCCCTTCTCACCTATATTGTCTGTGTTCCTTTATGAAGTCTAAGCTTCAAGGGGAATGATCACATGTAAAAACATTCCAGGTGAGCTGGGGTGCCCGAGTGCGATGTTTTAGCAGAATGAAAGGAGGGATTCTAAATTCTCCTGTCCAGAAGGAGACCTAACCTCTTTGGACATAAACAGTATTTGCTATGCCAGACAAGAGATGCATGACCTTTGAAATAAAGCTCAGCTGACAAAGAACTCTAACAGGTAAACTGGATACATGGGCTCCCTCAGCAAAGATGGTACATTAAGCCTTTACACACGACACATGAAGATGATGAAATGTTTTATTTAAATTTGGTCTTTCTCCTTCTTTCCTGAGTCCTGAAAGGTTAGCAAGTCATTTCTTGGACACATCTTGGAATCCCTTTCTTCACACAAGATACACACACATACGCATGCACACACACACACACAGAGTATCACATGCATGTCAGAATAATATTAGTACAGCGTGAACATTCAAGCCGTAGACACACTTCACATGAAAGTGTCTCTATGCATTATGTGGTCTGTCCCAGTAAGAAGCAAACATTAAAGTGTCAGTTAAGCAGTTACAGTGTTATGAATCCATATAGCTAATTTTTATATTCCTATTATTAATATGTCATCCATAAGGAAGTAGCAAAGGACCAAGTTTTTTTTTTTTTTTTAGTACTAACTTCAAAATGACATACTAACCAGACATCAGCATTTGAAAGCTAGGCTGAATAGGGCTGGCCTTGATACATATGCCATAGTTTTGTTTTCAGAATATAAAATTGAAGAGCAATGTCAGTGTTACTGTTGTTTTTATATTTATGATCAATCACTAACATTACAACTCCCAGAAGGAAAGAGATGGATCCAACGGTGATGTAAGCAATCCCCAAAAATGGGTTTTTTCCTCCCATCCATGAAATAGTGCTCAAGATCATCCGTTTTCGTCCATCAAAAGAATGTACTGGGTAATTGTATGTGATATTCAAATAGTATCGTCCAGCTGGTAAGGTTGGGTGTAAATCGTTGTTCTGTTCTATAAGACGGTATAACTTACGGAAAGTAGGCAATGCTGCAATACGCATCCAAACAATAAAATCCTCATTGATGAATCCGTTATTATCATCCTCAGAATCCAGCATATATACTGGTGTACGCCAGTTCAGTGGCTTTGTTGTGCCTTTAAATCGTTCTTCCAGGCTTCCTCCTCCAGGAGGATTTCTAAATTTCACATTTTTATCTGTCCACCAGGTGATGCCTTTCTTTTTCAAAGGAATAGATACAGGCGTAGGGTTGGATTTATTGGTGATCAGAAACAACTCTAATGTATCATTAAACATGCTGTTGGCGATAGCTCCACAAGGAGCAATGGGTTTGTCTTCATTTCTTCGATAGGGCTCACATTCTCTACTGGGATTAAGCAAAGCTCTGAAGTCCCCACTTAGTTGATTATCATCTCGAGATTTCACATAATGACGATGATTTTGATAGAAATTAGACAGTCCATAATACATATACACATTGCCCTTGAATGCCTCTTCCAGGGTGAAATTAATGGTACAAATGCAAGGTGTTACAACCGTTGACAAACACTTGTTGCAGGGACTGGAAGGCTCTGTTCCGGTGTAATCAATATGGATCTCTTGGACCCTATTGGAGGTGACTAAGACGCCGATGCCAATGGGGCCGGAGACGAGGCCAATGATGAAAAAGGTGGGCATCACTGTGCCCGCAGTAAGAATTGGCTGCCAAGTAGGCAGCCGTTGCTGTTTGAAGGCCGTGTTGTCTGGCCTCTGGGTCTTAGGGGGGCCCCCGGGAGCACATGGGGGCCTGCCGTCCACTTCCTCATTCACTCTATAGCTTGCAGCCATCAAATTCTGGGGTACTGACCCACGACGCCCAGGTGACCCAACTGCAGACTTGGACAGGAGAAATCCCGCCCGCCACAGGCAGTGGCCAGGGAGAGGACACTTCCACCGAGGAACACCAACCGACACCAACCGACCGCAAGCGGAAGCGGAAGTCAGCTGGAGACTCCAAGGGAGAGCGGAAGGTAGGCGAAGACTGAGGAGGGATCAGGGAGGAGGAAGGGGAGTTCTAGAATGAGTTAGGATGTGTGCTGTATCTCCTTGTATCTTCTAAGACAAAATGCAGAAAATTGGTATAATTCTTTTTCAGATGTTGATAGAATTCACCAGTGAAGCCATTTGGGCCTGGTGTTTTCTCTTTTTACAATTCCCCCACCCCCTGGTATTGGGGATGGAACTCAGGACCTTGCTCTTGGGAGGCAGGCACAGTACCATCGAGCTAAATCTCCAGCCCTTGGGGTTTCCTTGTTTTAAGAAAGTTATTAATTATTGATTCAGTTTCTTTAGTAGATTTAGGCCAATTTAGATTGTCTGCATCAATTTATGAGAATTTTGACAGACTGTATCTCCTAAGAATCTAGGTGATTTCTTCAAGTTACCAAATATGGACATGGAGAGTTTTCCATACCAGTTGTTCCTTTCAGTGTTCTTGGGACCTGTAGTGATATCCTTCTTTTCATTTCTCACATTACTATTTGTTTCTTCTTTTGATCTTAGCTTGGCTAGAGGCTTATAGATTTCATTGGACTTTTCAAAGAACCAGCCTTTGGTTTAATTGATTTTATGTATTCATTTACTATTTTAAATTTCATTGAGTTCTGTTGTTTTTAAAAATTATTTTTTCTTCTGACTTTATTTCATTTGGCCTATTTTTTCTAGTTTCTAAGGTGAAACTTCAATTATTGATTTTAAATTCTTCTTTCTTCTTCTTCTTCTTTTTTTTTTTTTTTTTTTTTTTTTTTTTTTTTTTGGGGGGTTT